GTGTCCTACACACTATTCTAGGATACAACAGTGAAAAAGACAAAGTGCCTGCTCCCAAGGAGCTTACCTTCCAAGGAGGGAAGAAACCATAAGCAAGTGAAGGAGTAAATGATATCCTCTGAGACTGTGATAAGTGCTCTGAGAAGTAATAAAGCAGGGCAAAAGGCCGGGAGTGGCAGGGACGAGGACGTTCACTTAGATAAGGATTCAGGAAACGCCTCTGTGTGTTTGGTTGGAGACCTGAAGGGTGTGAAGCCTGAACCATTGGAAGACCTGAGGAAAGTGTATTCTAAGCTGGGTAAACAGCAAATTTAAGGGCCCTGAGGCTGTAACAAATTACGCTTCGTAGAGGGACATTAGAACAACTGTGGCTGGAGGGGACCAGGGGGGAAAAAGAGGAGGCCAGCACCAGGCCAGGTAAGAAGCAGACAGAGGTGCTGAGGCAGGGCAGGGGGTGCTCTGATCTTCCTTTTCAGAGGACCTCTCCTAGCAGAATTCTGGGGGGAGGATGCAGCCATCCCATGAGGCATCAGTGGTGGCCTGTGGCAGAGAAGAGGAGTGAGCAGTGGCCAGAAGGGAGACGTATTTTGAAGGGAGACCTGACGGGATTTGTTGATAGAGGTGGGATATAAAGGAAAAAGGAAGATGGCTCCCAGGTTTTCAGCCCAAGAAACACTGATACATAGTTCCATTTAGTCTACAGAAACAAAGAAATTTAATGGTAAAATCTGCATATAGCACTTTCTTGTTAAATTCATTGTATGATAACAATTACACGGTTTTTTGGTTTTGTTTTGTTTTTGAGGAAGATTAGCCCTGAGCTACCATTTGATGCCAATCCTCCTCTTTTTGCTAAGGAAGACTGGCCCTGAGCTAACAACCGTGTCCATCTCCCTCTACTTTATATGTGGGACACCGTCACAGCACGGCCTGACAAGTGGTACAAAGGTCCGCACCTGAGATCTGAATTGGTGAACCCCGGGTGGCCAAAGCGGAGTGCGCAAACTTAACCACTGCACCACCAGGCTGGCCCCTGCATGGTTTTTTGTTAGTCTTGGACATCAGAGGACCAGGCACAGCAACGTCTTAATCAGTGCCTCTTATCTTTAAATTTTGTGTTCATCATATTTGTTATGCCGCCCCATAAGATTTTGTGAGAACAAAATGAGCTTATGTTTGTGAAAATGCTGCTCATATGGTTGTCATCTAATAACCAACTTTTATATTTGTATGGTACTTTCGAGGTAAAATGTGCTTTCTTGTGCTTGAAGTAATTTAATCTGCTAATAGTCGACACTATGCTAAAAATTTGGTGGAAACAATGTCCCAAATTATGTGAAAATACTATTAGCCCTGCCAAAAGAGAAGTCTCTCTGTCTTCTTTCTGCTTCTCCGTCTCGGTCTGTCTGTCTCTCTCTGGGGAGAGAGCTCATGCAAACAAGAGTAGGCCGACCCCAGGGTCTGCAGAAGCCCAACGCATGCTGTTCTTGGGCTGTGCCTCCACATACTCAACACACTGCATGCAGCCTCTGTGGATTGTCCCTCTGTGCCACCTACAAGGGACAAGAACTTCAGGACTCTTCATCTGAAATTCCTGGTCTTCCTTGGTTTGGCAGAACCCAATTTGTTCATCATCAGGACGCAGAAATGTTCAGCTTTTCAAACTGACAAATTAATTTTAACATATATCAGTCACTGCCACTGCTTTACCTACTTGCCTTTCTTTATTATAGTGCCCTGTCGGGATTTTTTTACCTGGGAATGCTTAGAAAATCAGATAGAAATTTTTAACTGCTATTTACCTTTCAGACTGTTTAAATCTTTAACCAAGGAACATTTCAGAAGTGTTCTGCTTTGAGTTTCTACAGATCCATGACAGTATGCTTTTTTGATAAATTAAAAGTTTTGTCTTTTTACATACGGATAACAGAGAATAAAATGTATGACAATAATAAATATCAAGACAAGTATTCACAGCTTCTTTCCTCTTACCTGCTAAGGAATATTTTGCTATTGTCCACCTAACTATTTTTCCCTTCCCTCTTTTTTGGGCTTTATTAGTAGATCAGAGTGAAGAGTGTACAGGTGTGTGTGCGTGTGTGTGCGTGCGTGTGTGTGCGCGCGTGCGTGTGTGTGCGTGCGTGTGCGTGTGTGTGTGCGTGCGTGCGTGTGTGTGTGCGTGCGTGCGTGTGTGTGTGTGTGTGTTGGAGGGTGTAGAAGAGCGTGCTAGGGAGAGCAGAAGGGAAATGCCAAAGAAAGGGAAGACTGGCGAAATTTACATTGAAAAGAAAGTAAGTGACTCATGGAAAAAAATAGACTGGATCCCAGGGAAGAAAGGGGAAAAAACATGAGAGTGTTGGAGTTTCTGGGAGAATATTAGCAGAGATTTTGAGGAATAGCTGCTGTTATCGGGAAGAGATGTTGAAATGACAGATCGGAGAAAGCTACTTTCTACATTTTGCTCTACGTTAAGAATGTATCTGCCCACCACACACCTCGAGTTTTCTGAAGGGAAGATTTTAATTGCTTTCAACATTGTTAGGGACCATTTTCTTATTTTACGTTACACTAAGACTGGGCCACGAAAGGCTTACCGTAATTCAGACGACCGAAATACTCAGGATCACCAGGAGGCATTTTCTACTCAGACATTTTCTTTAGATGTAAGCTAGTGACTCCTAATTTTAAGATTATTAGGAGGACTCAAAAAAAAAAACCACATGAGGAAAATGGTAAGGGACGATGTATTTTTTAAAGACGCATATTTCAGGTTTTAATCATTTTGTGAAATTTGGGGAAAACGCTCCTTCTGAGCATTTAACGTTGGCATTCCCCTGAGATCTTCCTGAAATCAGAAACTCTTTCTGCCGTAGTCTTTCAGCATGTTTCTTATCTCTCTGTTATTGCACTTAATTTATTCTGCCTGGCTTGTTTTTTCAAAGAACCTTCTTATTATTAAAGTAATATATGTTGGCCTGAATTTCTTCTCTTTTTTCCCAAAGCTTTATTAAAGTATAATTGACAAATAAAATTGTAATATGTTTTATATTAAGTATATAATGATATATTAAAACTTACAACATGATTTGCTATAATAGACATCGTGAAAGGATTCCCACAAATGAGCTGATTGACACATCCTCCATCACCTCACGCAGTTACTTTCTTTTGGTGGGAATGCTTAAGATCTGTCTACTCTCTTAGCAAACTGCAAGTACACAGTACAGTGTCATTGACTATGGTCACCATGCTGTACACTGGATCCTCGGAATTCAGTCCTCTTATAATGGAAAGTTTGTACACTTTGAGCAACCTCTCCCTATTCCCCCACCCCCTAGCCCCTAGCAACTTCCATTCTGCTCTCTGTTTCTGAGTTTAGCTTTTTCAGATTCTGCATGTGAGTGAGATCACACAGTATTTGTCTTTCTCTGTCTGACTTATTTCACTCAGCATAACGCCCTCCAGGTATACCCATGTTGTCACAAATGGCAGCATTTCCTTCTTTGTTGTGGCTGAATAACATTCCATTTTGTCTGTGTATATATGTACCACGTTTTCTTTGTCCATTCATTTGTCAGCAGACACCCAGTTGCCTCCATGTCTTGGTGGCTGTGAGTAGTGCTGCCATGAACATGGGGTGAAGACACCTCTTGGAGACAGTGATTTCGTTTCCTTTGGACAGACACCCAGAAGTGGGATTGCTGGATGATATCATAGTTCTATTTTTAATTTAGCCTGGATTTATTCTTAATTATGTATTGTAAGCTCATTGAAGACAGAGACCATACCTTATTTATAAAACAATGTCATGCAATGAACAGCGCAGCCCTTGAAGTCAGACACCCCTGAGTTTAAGTCTTGGCTTTGCCCCTCCTCAGTTAAAATACCAAGTAGTTTTTTGTGGTTGTTATTGTTGTTTAACCTTGTTTCATCGGAGTACTCTTATTCGTAAAACTGAGATAATAATGCCTGTTTCTCTTAAGGCAGTTGTGAAAGTTACATGAGAAGATGTATGAAAGCGGAGAGCACAATGCCTGGCACGCACAAGTATTCAACCAATGGTAACTATTATTATGTGTATGTCCACTTCATTATTTGAATCCCTACCATGCAGTACAGGAGTAGCTACTCGGATCTTTGCTGAACAAATCGTGGCTGAGATGAGAGGAGAAAACAGTGAAAGGAAGCCAGGGGCTGGCACCCTTGGTTTACAGTACCTTTATTTTCCTCTGTGACCTTAAAATTCGGAGTCCCAGGGACTTCTGTGGGGGCTTGAGGCCTGCTTCTGGTCCAGATGAGCCTTGTTGGAGGTGGGGTAGGAGGAAAGGTGTCATCTGTTAGTACTAGGGCCTGCCTGTGAGTTCTCAGCCTCTCAGGGAAATTCTAGTTCTTTCTCCTCTCCTGCCCTCCCCAACAACGTCTCTGGAGAGTCTCCTAAGTGATGAGAACTACCAGTGACTAACCTGCACCTTCATGGGGTCCCAGGGAGCTGGGACCCTCTTAGACACCACCTTCTGCAGGAAGCACTTCCTGTTTGCCCAGGTCAGAAAGGGTGTCTCCCTCTGTAATAGCACATGGGTTAGTGCCCTGTTCTAGCTACTAGCTTTGTTTCCCCTGTGAAGTGCAAGGTCTCTGAGAGCAAAGTCTGGCTCTGGTTCCTGTTTGATCAGTACAGTGAGCTGTACATAGTTCCCAGGTAATGATTGTCATACTGAAGCCGGTCTTGGGGCTGCAGCCTTCAGCTGCGCCATAAGCCCAGGCCTTGCTCTAAACTCTAAGGTGCTAGGCTGATCCTCAGAGCTTTAAGATACATACTTCTGCTCCCCATGGGAGAAGGCAGCCTCTGGGCAATTAGCAGCCTGGAGTTCATGGTTTGACTCGGTGCAGAAAGTTCCCAGCAATAGATTTCACAAAGCTGGCAGGAATCCAGAGGAAAAACTTTATTTAGGGGTGGGATTTACAAAATGTTAACATCAAATTTTCACCTCTCCCTAATTTAAAGTTCCTTTTATACACCACCCAGCTATTACTTGGTGCATGGTGAAAATTTAATACCTGTAACTGCTGGAAACAATCTGGAAGAATTCTGATTCTATTAGCAGGCAATTTACTTAAACTTCGTTCTAATAATCATATAAAAATATGCAAATAATAAAGCAATCATTTATTTGGTCCCAAATCTGATTATTCTGATTCATCCAACATGCACAAAATGGTAAATTTTTAATTTTCAATTATCATTACCACATAGTTTGCTAAAGTGCCTGGCCAAAAATAGTATTTTCTAAATATTATTCTGAGTTGTTTAACTGAATTTAGGTGAAATAACATATCAGGAAAAGCTTGCCAACTCAGCAACTTGCTCTTCTCACTCTTGAAAAAAATTACCCTTTCAGCTTCATCAGTGTCTCTTTCACCACGTGGAGGTCAGTTCTGCTTGAAGAATGCTAAGGTGTCTCCTCTCGACTTCATGTGGCTTTTCACAAATCCAGTTAGTCTTCTGAATGCCTCCGTCAGCCCATCCCCAGTGATGGCACAGCAGGGCTGCACATGCCAGGCCCGGTCGCTGCAGAGCTTCTGCACTTTGAACATTCTGGTGATGTCCTCGGCAGTCAGAGCGCCAGGCACATCTTGTTTGTTGGCTAGTAGGACAACAGGCACATTTTTAATGTGTTCATTCTTCAAGATGTGCTCAAACTCTCTCCTGGAGTCTTCCAGTCGCTGTTTGTCCGTACTATCCACAACATACACCAGCCCATCAGTGCCCTCACAGTAACAGCCCCACAAGGTTCTCATTTTCTCCTGGCCTCCAACATCCCAGATGGTGAGTGAAAGATTCTTTTCCAACTCGATCATTTCCACGTTGAAACCTATCGTCGGAATGGTCACAATATCCTTAGCAAGCTTTAACTTATAAAGGAGAGTAGACTTCCCAGCAGAGTCAAGTCCCAGAAGAAGAATTTGGGCTTGCTTGGATTTGAAGTTTTTAGAACTCAAAAGACCCATTTTAGGGTTTTTCTTTTCTTTAAAGACCTTTTCTTTCGGCCAGATACGATGTTTCCTCTCCAAGTCTTGTATGAAAACATTAGGAGGAAAGAAGAGAGCAAACACTTCATGTTATATTTTTAGACTAGGAACTTGCGTGCATTTATGCTGTAGCGTATCAACTTGATTATGGGCAAACAGTGTTTTATTTGCGGTCTCAGCCAATCCTGAGGAATCTGTGGTGTGAGTAACCAGCCAGTGTCAGAGTGGCTCAAAGGGAAAATTCTTTGTGGGTGAATAGACTTGGGAGGGGCCTGCCTGGGTGATGCTGCAGCTTGTTCTTTTCCAGATGTTGGAAATTTAGAGGTAATCGAAGATTTATACAAGCACAGGAGCATGGTTTGATCGTAGAATAAAAGCTTAACTCTATAAGTGGTTTGTAGAATTTCTCTAGTTATTCAAAGATTATTTTAGGATGGAGGGCATCAGGGAAATCATCTACAGAAAGTTAAATACTGAACGGTGCCTTGTAGAGATCTGGTGGGGAAGGGCATTTATTAAAGAGATGGCCTGTGTGAGCAACGTTTCCGAAATGCGAAAACACAGGAGGTACATGGAAAAACAATAGGAATGCACAGTATATACACGTGTAGTTTTTTAATTCTGTAAACATATTTAACTATCATAAGAAAACCATCACAAAAGTCTAGATTGTAGGGCATGCTACAAGACAACAGACCTGGCCTCTTCAAAATATGTCTATGTCATGAAAGGCAGAAGGAAAAAAAAAAGAAGCAGGGGGAAGAATGTTCTGAATTAAAAGATACACGACTCCTCGATGCATTGTGCCATCTTTGATTGGATCCGTTGTCAAAAAAATTGATTACAGGCATTTTTATGATAATTAGGGACACTTGTTTATGAACTGTATATTAGGCGGTGTTATTTGTCAATGTTAAATGTCTTGAGTGCCGTCACAGTATGGTGGTTATGTAGGAAACGTGCTTGTTATACAGAGATACATGCTGAAGTACTTAGGGGTGATAGCAAGCGGATTTCAATTGGTTCAGCAAACACGTGCATAGAGAAAGCAGAAATGTGGCAAAAGTCAACAATTAATGGATTTAGGTGAGGGATATTGGGTGTTCAATGTACTATTTTTTAACTCTCCTGTAAGTTTGAAATTTTTCAAAATAACATGTGGAAAAAAAGAATATAATTGAATTAGGCTGTAGTCTGCAGTAACACAGAAAAATAGTTCTGCTTGACCTGTAAGACTGCGTCCAAAGATGAATGTGCAAGACTCTCACTGCCGTACTACCTCTCGAGCTCTTCTCCACCTCCATATTTTCAATAAATTACATTTAAAAAGGAAAAGCTGAACATTTATTTCATATTAAACATGATGATATATTCTTCATGAGATCCACCGTTGGTGCTTTAATTTGTTCTGTTTATAATAAGGACAATCACACATATATGCCTTCACTCTGTTTCCCATTTGTTTCCAAGATGGCCAACCAAAGGAGGGGTTAAATTCTGTATGAATCTTATATCCAAATCAAAATATGACTCTCTCTTCTGTGAAAGGGAGTAAAATAACTTTTTTCTCAATGTTAATTTTCATGAGAAAGTCTATAAACGTTTCAACATCCTTTCCTACTGTCTCACAGCATCTATAGATTCATTTGTCCCAGCCAAACCTGAGGGGAGGCACAGTATTTGTCTTCTGTAAATGATTCTGAGATTACACAAATAAAGGTAGGATTGAGAGAGAGTTATTGGCAGGCTCTGTGATCTTACAGGAAAGAAAGAAACATTTTCTTTACTTTTTTACCATGAGGGCGGAAGGCAAAAACTCCTAAATTAGAAAATTAACTATGCACTGACTTATCTCTTGGAAGAAAGTGGCAACTTATACCATTATCTTTATTGTTCACAGGTCAAGAAGAAAGAATCAGGATGTAGCTGTGTAGATTTGCAACGTCCTTCGTTTTTTCTAAAATATCTTTTTTATTGGTCTTTTTAAAAAAATAAACTTGAAAGTTGAAGTATAACATACATATAGAAAATGCAAAAATCATAAATGTACAGTTCAATGAGTTATCACAAATTGAAAACATCCATGCAACCACCACTGAAGCCAGGCTTAATTTTTAATTTTCCATTCTTGTTGCAAGTAAAAATTCCAGACCTCAAATATTTTTACACTCAGTTGTCAGAAATATACTCTGTTCCTGAACATGTAATGTGAATAGGTACTTCTTATCCTAGTTGATAACAGCATCCTAGTTATCCTTTGATGTGGTGAAGAATGATATGTTCCAACCTATGAAGCTTTTCCAAGTGCTGTTGTCTCCTGGACAGAACCGCCACTTTCATCCACATCACCAAAGGCGGAGAGCTTTCCTTTCACATGGGTAGACCATGGGATCTGAGTTCAAATCTAGCCTCTGGCAGTTACTAAGTGTTGAATAGTGATAAAAACAGGGATGTTGTGATAATTTATTATATTACACTTAATGAATGTGAAAACACATATCAAGGAACCGGACACCTGACTGATGACAATTTTCTTTCCTCTCCTCTCACAAGTTTTGCATATTAGCTAACATGTAAAAATACCTACAATTCTTACCTTTTCTGGACAAGGAAGAATTAGATGATCACCATCAGAGCAGTCTCCTGGCAGAACAAATGCTGGCCCCCTTCCCTGGCACCCCCAAATTTTTATCCTTCCTCTCCAAAATAAGATTAAAATGAACAAGGAGACACTCCAACCCCAGAGGGACAGTCCGAGGGTTGTGTCTGGAGCGTGGGAGGGCTGGCATGTTTCTTTCTGCCTGGCAAAGACAGGATTCATGTGAGGACAGACGGCACAGACCCCTTCAGCCCCAGCTATGTGTGAAGCTCTCAGTGTCCTGATTGTCCGCCCCACCAACAGCAAGGGGCCCCAAAGAACTGGGCATCTGATCGCCATTAATTGAATTGTTCCCTTTTCACTTCAGTGAAATAGTGATCCCAATCCTAGGTTTGCACAGGTCTCCATTGTTTATACCTGCCTTATTTCTCCTCTAACTCAGGATAAATCTGAGATTCATTCAGTATTTATCGGGGACACACCCAATGTCAAACACTGTCTGTCTACTGTGTGCAGAACACTTGCAACTTCACCCTTTAGGAAGTAACTGAATGGGGCCAGCCTGGTGGCATAGTGGTGGGGTTTGTGTGCTCCACTTCAGTGGCCCAGGGTTCGCAGTTTCAGATCCCAGGCATGGACCTACACACTGCTCATTAAACCATGCTTTGGTGGCATCCCACATACAAAGTGGAGGAAGATTGGCATAGATCTTAGCTCAGGGCCAATCTTCCTCGCCAAAAATAATAATAATAATAATAATTCAGTATTTATCGGGGACACACCCAATGTCAAACACTGGGTTTGAACTAATTTTTTTGCCAGTCTTCCTCTATTTTGTATGTGGATCGCCACAACAGCATGGTTGGCTGAGTGGTATAGGTCCACGCCTGGGATCTGACCTCATGAATCTGGGCCTCCAAAGTAGAGCATGAGAACTTAACCACTATGCCACCAGGCCAGCCCTGGAGCTATTTTTGTAAATCTTTTAAAAATACTGTATGAACAACCTTGTCATTTTAGAAAATAAATATTTTATTATAAAAGTAATATTTTTAAAATATTAAATCATCTGAAACATTTAAAAATCTAATGTGATTATGAATTTCACTTTTGCCTATTTTCTTCCTGTGTTTGTCTATGTACATATATAATTTTGTTTCTTTTTTTCTCTTTTCTTTTTTGAGGAAGATTAGCCCTGCGCTGACATCTGCCACAAATCCTCCTCTTTTTGCTGAGGAAGACTGGCCCTGAGGTAACATCCGCGCCCATCTTCCTCTACTTTATATGTGGGACGCCTGCCACAGCATGGCCTGACAAGCCCTGTGTAGGTCCACTCCTGGAATCCGAACTGGCGAACCCCGGGCCACACAAACTTAACTGCTGTGCCACCGGGCCAGCCCCTAAATATATAATTTTGACACGCTTTATTCATTCATTCATCAAACTTGTATTTAGCATGTAATACGTCTGGATATAATGCAAGACACTGGTGATACGGATGTAATCAAAGCAGTCTCCATTTTCAAGGAATAATAGTCTAATGAAGGAGACATGGCATGAATATTGCTATAAATAAGGTAACAGGAACTTAAGAAGCACAGAATTCATCAAAAAGAAGGGTGAAATAGCAAGGTGTGTCCAGGGAACTGGAAGCAGTTCCACAACTCTGGAGAGAAGTGTGATGGCCACCGAGTAAGAGGAGAGGAGGCTGCAGGCCGGTGCCGCGCAAGCAGGGCTCATGCATGGATGGTTCACACCATTTATCGTCCAAACTTGGACAGATTTGAAAGTGGAAGGGGTGTTAATAATGAATGTGTCAGAAAACAAGTGTAAATGGGACTGTCCTGGATATATGGTCACCCTAATAGAGGCCACGTGAGACTTGCCTAGCTTCGCGAGAGGAAGCTTGTTAGTTTCAGGATGAACAAGTACAGCGCCAGGTCTGCATAGCTACTTCTCAGGTATGTCCACTGTCACTGGCTGACATTCACCTTTCTAGTCTTTCTAGAGCATAAACTAAGAAAGGGAAGTCATAAGAGGACACGAAGGGATAATAACATCTACTTGATACAGTTGCTATGACTTCATGCTGCCTCCAAGGAGAACGAGCAGGAGCGGGGCGCGGGTGGCGGTTAAGGGCATCTCCTTTCTCTCCTTTCACCCTCCTATCCTCCTTCTACCTCCTTTTCCTTTCCCCTTTCAATGTCTTTCTTTCACTTTTCTTCTTTTCTGTCGGGTTAGGTGAGGTCAGTGAAGTGCTGGAGTACTGCCAGGAACAATTGCTATCATTTTAAAAAGTATTGTCCTATTATTATATATTACAGCCCAGGAAAACAAGTTTCTCACTTCACAAACAGAGTTTCGGTTTTGTTTTTGTTTTGCATTGTGATTTCATAGAACCTGAGCCAGCAGTAGATCCTTTCCTGAGGGCAACCAAGCTCCCTGCCCCCCAGTCCCCACTGTCCCCATCCCCAGCTCCGAACCACAAGGTTGTGTTGTGGTTGTGGAGGGAAAGAGTGTCAACAGTCTCCTGGCTGTTTGCACCAGTTAACTTTAAAATAAGTAAAATACTTCTGCCTAAATGTATAACATGGCTAAAGGGCATC